TATATATATATATATATATACTTTGTAAACGATAACCGCTATTGTAATTTCATCAATGTTTACATTTTTCCCCATACTGATACTTTGTATTCTGAACAAGAGGCCATACTCTGCATGATGGCTACGGTGTGATCTGAATAAACTGGTGTTAGCATCCACAGGACTGACAGATGATCAGCAGAGCACATCAGACATAGAAGCTTGTCCTACTTTTATCAGTAGCAGACAAGAGGTAATCTCGGAGTTCGACTGAGAAGTCCTGTACTTGCACATATGAAGCTTTCCAGTGTCTTGTTTACTCCACTGTGCCCCCGATGTGGCTCCGATTTTCTCTGTGCTACATCAGCTGCTGTGGTCATGACATGATGGTGATCAAATGTTTTAAAAAAAACAAAAACAAACAGGCTTCTGTCTGAGCTCAAGTCATAGCTGTCTTCTACTTGATTCTGACCATTCGGTGGAATGTTTCTTTATCTCTGTATTTGTACATAGATAGTGCATGACGTTGAAATGTGTATGTTTGCAAATAACTTTGCATGTAAAGGTTTTGCAGAAAGTTTACACAGACTAATAAAATCTGGTGAAAAATGGCACACTCCTTGTATGCATACAGCTTTTATAGAGTTCAGCTGTGGTTGCAAAAGTGGAGAGAGTTGAAAAGAAGGGTCACAAAACTCTTGAATAAAAAGGTGATAAAGTGTAATAAAAGAAAGTAAGGATGAGCTTTATGAACCATGGTGGAAAGTAACTACACCCAAGTATTATTTGGTAGTAGTATCTAGAGGTACTTTACTTCTCTAGTACGTTTCTATTTTATGCTACATTTAGAATTTGACTCAAACATCCATCCATCCATTATCTTTACCGGATTCTTCCTTATTTGGGTCACGAGGGTCACTGCTGCCCATGTCCAGCTATCACTGATAGGAGGGGGACACCCTGGACAGGTCTCCAGTCCATCACAGGGACACATAGAGACAAACGAGACAAACATTCACTCTCTCACTCACACCTAGAGACAATTTAGCATTACCAGTCAGCCTAACATGCATGTTTTTGATCTGTGGGAGGAAAATGGAGTACCTGGAGAAAACCCACGTATGCACGGAGAGAACATGCAAACTCCACCCAGAAGGACCCCCGGCTGGGATTTGAACTGGGGCAACCTGCTCGCTGAGAGGCAGCAGCTCTACCAACTGTACCACCGTGCTGCCCTGACTCAAACATATTGCAGAATAAAGTTATATATTTGGACATTTTTGTCACTTTGGATAAAGTAATTTAAAATACAAACTGAAAATGTTTCTAACATAAATCAAACAAGTGGTTTGCAACAGTTTACAACTGCTGATGTTTTACACAAAACCGAGTGCTTTAGATGCCAAGAAGGAAATAAAACGTGCACCAAAACAATAATTTCCTTACAGCTCTACAACTTACTAGCTGCAGCTATACTTTGCTGGTATGAAAGGCAGCACTGAAGGTTCTCAACTCCTGGACCAGCTTCTGGATGGAACTCCAGTTTAGGGTCTTCGTCTCGACCTATACCGTTCGTCACCAGGTGTTCTTCAGTCAGCCTCTCCTGCGTTAACCTTCTGGTGTCCATTGTAGGGCTGTGTGGGTAATGTTGGTTATTTTCTAAACACATACCCAATCCACTGCCTCCTTCTCCTCATGATGATGGTCTCCATGCTGTCTTGATGACAACAAGCAAGAACCATTTGTTTGAGATGTTGCTGTTGCATTTGTTGAGATGCTGGGACCTCCCTTGTTCGTCCCATCACACAATCAATGGCGCTGTTGAACAGGAGCGATGACGCCTTGCCTCACTACAGTATTTGAAACTGCAAAATTGTTGTAAAAGCTCTAAATGATAAGGACAATTTATTGTGGTATCCCACATGCACAGAGTATGTACCCAAAACTTTAAGGTCCACAACGTTGATGTAAAGCTGTCCCTATATTTTTATCACTTCTTTTCAGATTTATTTGTGTCCATAAATGTAAACAAAGTCATCCAAACTTCTCTTCCTGTACCACCTTTAAAAGTGACAGTGTGTCAGAACCTAAACCAAAAGACATAATTTCAGTTATATGATACAAAAGTTTTGGCATGTCAATTTGAAAATAATAAAAAGGTACAATATGGGAGTTAATAATTTTAATAACATGGGACAGTGTTTTGTCCAGTTTATATTACTGACTGAGATCAGCAGTCACTCAACTCACTCACGCTTGTCCTGTTTGTTAGATTTAGAAGAACAAGTCCAAAACTGGCTGTAATAATAAAGATGCATTGAAACTGGTTAGTGCTCAGAGTATGTGTGATAGACTAGTGTTAGTCACTAGTTGGCTGAGGTGTTGTTGCTATTTTTTGTGTTTTCTTAGGTAGCTCAGCTCTGACGGCCATCTTGAATCAGTTTGACTTCAAAAGGTAATCAGATGAACATGATGATTAATTTATGACATAAATAACAATATATTCAAGGTTCAAGGTTCTTTATTTGTCATTCACACCACATGTGGTACATGTGGTAGAACGAGATTATGTACACAGGGTCCCAGTTACATCCAACAATAAAATCCATCCATCCATCCATCCATTTTCTTTACCCGCTTGTTCCATTTTGGTTCACGGGGGTTGCCGGTGCCCATGTCCAGCAATCACTGTGCGAGGGGCAGGGTACACCCTGGACGGGTCGCAAGTCCATCACAGGGCCACATAGAGACAAACGAGACAAACAACCATTCACTCTCTCACTCACACCTAGGGACAATTTAGAGTTACCAATCAGCCTAACATGCATGTTTTTGGACTGTGGGAGGAAACCGGAGTACCCGGAGAAAACCCACGCATGCACGGAGAGAACATGCAAACTTCACCCAGAAAGGCCCCTGGACCGGGGTTTGAACCAAGGACCTGCTCGCTGAGAGGCAGCAGCTCTACCAGTTGCGCCACCGTGCTGCCCAACAATAAAATGTAAACGAAAAACAGTAATAAGATCTAAGATATGACCTAAGAAAAACATCAACTAAAAATACACTAAGCATTAATAGCATAATAACATTACGCCGAACAGCAGCACGAACA